TGTGGGCTGAAGGGAGTTTGTCAGGGTCTCTGCATTGAAATTAGACGGGGAGAAGTCTGGAATTATCTCTGGATATGATGATTTGTTGGAAACTTTCAGAACCTGAGGTTCCCCATCGGAGGACGTCCTCTTGTTCGAGGTCGTGGTCATTACAGGTCACCTCTGTGTACGAAACTTTTTGGCGATGCGGTAGAGTAGAGAACGTGTGGAGGAGAAAGCAACCATTAACGTCGAGACAATCTACAAAACATACTGCAGTTTCAGGTTCAGGGATAGTTTGCCGACGACCCATGGTGGTGCGAGGCCCCACCATGGCATACCTGGGTTCTATGTTGACATCCAAGCGGGAGTTACCATCACTAACGAACAAGAGATGAGAGGAGTTGGTGCGAGTGAGAATTATGAGATCTTCCAGGTCCGCCCCAAAGTTGTGCCTCTTGTTCCCTATCTTTTTCGGAGTTTCAACCGTGCTTGGGACATAGATGTGAACAATGTATATAGGGCGGGGTAACACGTGAGCGAAGAATAGGGGATACAAAAAAGTCTACTCTGCGATGCTTGTCTGAAGGCAAAGCTGACTTGAGACTTTCCCAGCCGTTTTTTTGTAAATGTGTGTGAGGAATCCACTTTGGTTTCTTTGGGCACGAGAGAGAGAGAGAGAGAGAGAGAGAGAGAGAGAGAGAGAGAGAGAGAGAGAGAGAGGGACTTCAAACAGTACAGTAGTATTTAGCCGTGTCTCGCAGGCCCCTTTTCTATGTTGCAGGAAGGATTTTCAAGTAGGTATGACTGGGGAGAGGAATAGTCGGAGGACTCAAGGCACAGCGGTGTAAGAGTGCATGATTCATAGGGTGGAGGCTGGGAGCCGCATACACTGAATGTTCAAGTTTGATGATGTTCAGAGAGAGGCTGGGATTGGTGTTTGGCAAGTTTAGTTCTTGTGCACATCCGGATTTCGGCCCCTGAAACATGAGACACATACGTAAATTCATTAAACTCATTTGACATCTAAATACAGTAAGCCTGGGCTTAGAGAGCTGCACCTCGAATCGCAATTCCGAGCGGGAGGTCAAGAATGAATGTGCACTGCTGGCTGCAATTGCCACAGGACTCCGAGCATTCGCCAATCCGCTGGCCGTGACTCTAATGTGCTTCGAAGTCAGGATGTGTTGGCTGTGCAGTGGCGTTCACCAACACTGGGATTCTGCACACAGCGCTTTCCACGCTTTATCCAGACATTGTTCGGCACAGGATGTGAATTTTGCGCTTGTCTTTCAGAAGATGCTGCAGCCACACCATCTCAGAAAATATTTTCCGATCTCCGGTGGCAGCACTTTGGAGATCATTGGAACGTATGGCAGCATCTTCTACCGTTCCTGGGATGTTTCGAACGGCACACGTCGCCGATGTCGATTGTACCGTCGCTTCCGCCGCGCGTGTGCAGTTGTGTCGGATGGAGGACCAGATTCAGGTAATCTGTGCAATGTGACGGCATGACTACAAAGGCGTCTTACATCAACCCCACATGGCGCAGCTGGCCTCTCTCGCAAAGACCAGCTTCGGCCAGATGCTTGAAAACACGAGCGCGTTGAAACACCATGGCCAATGTGCCCTCAAATGGATCGGGTATTGACATTGAGCTCAGTCTTGATCCTGGCACCGGCCCATAGCACAAAAGCCAAGTCCTGTGCTGCGCAGCAAAAACAGCTGAATTGGTGTTGCGCCGGATGAACTCGACAGAGATCAACGAAGCCTTGACAAATCACTGAGACAGGCGCGAAATTGGCGACTGCCTCAAAAGCGAATCGGCCAGTCAGAAGTCGCAAGGATGGCAAAGGCGCGAGAATTCGAAAGAGACCACAACTGCTCTCACGGCCTGGGGTGCCATGCACGGAGCATGCCGCTTGCCTCTCACAGCCGTCCTACCCTTGTAAACTCTGTTGACAGACTGTCCGAGCCTGAAGTTGGAAGAGCATCAAAGGTTCCCACACCTCGTCCAACTCTGAGGCAATCGGCAAAACGAGCGGCCAAACATGCCACGATATGCACACGAAGCCTCGATGGTGAAGAGTGCCAAAACCCCGAGCCAGGTTTGAAAGGCTTTGCACCTCAACAAGGCTTTCTCGGCTGCATGAACAACATCCGACTTGATAAAAGCTTGGGAGCCTGAGGCTCTTCTCGTCTTTCCAGCGCATAGCCACTGATGAGATCAATGAACGATCACCTTGCCAACGCCATGCACGGGCACAAGCAAACTAGTTGGAAAAAACTTGCTGAAAGCCTTCGCAGAGCCGGCCATGCAAGTGACCGCATCAAGGATGCCACTTCACGCGGGTTCCAGGTTGACCTTTCCACTACACATCAACGTAGCACATTATACTGCGTCGTAAACAAACTTCCGAGAGAAACACTTGTTCAGGCGGAAGGATGCCGCTGTCTTCTCCATGAAAGCCCGATGCAGGGCTCGAAGCTTCGCCAAAGACCAACCTCTGTTCGACATCTCCTCAGCAGATCCGTCCCACCCGCCACCCCGAGTGCTCCGAAAGCTTCTGAGCAGCGCTCCTGTGGACTGGGCCAGGAAATCTTGCCCAAGCCGTCCCCCACTACTGCTTGAGTTGGCAGAAGATCTGCCTGGCCAAGGTCAAGACTTTGGAACTGTGTTCAATGTGGGAGCATGCAGATGCCGTCAGCTGCCACCTGCCTGCTGCAACACCGCAGGGGTTCAGCCTGTGTTTTCCTCACAGCAGTTTGGCTATGTCATCAAACAAGTGCGAAATGCGGCTGAGCTTCACGCAAGTGCTTGAGGCCGTGCGTCTGGCTGCTTTCGCGGAAAGGTTGCAGCTGTCTCCTGCAAAATTTCTCGGGCCGTCTCTGCGCAAAGCTTGTGACGCTGCGGCACGAAGCTGATGAAGCTGCAAACGTGGCTGCCTTCGGTAGAGACTCGCTGTGATAAGACAGCACCTGGAACCGTCGGCACCGACTGCTGCGACAGGCTTTGGACCGAGCAACTAATCTCAGAGTATGGCTGCATGCGCCCATGAGGCATTGGAAAGGTTTTGCGAACCTCGGATCATTGTCTAAGCTGAAGAGATGCAAACACAGTTTATTGAAAGAGCCCGGCTGAGGCCATCAATGGTTGCTGCAGATGCATGTGCGATGGCCTGTTGGCAAAGGACCGGCATCCAAAACGAGACGTCGATGAACATTTGCTCAGTCTCCTCCGATGAGGGCGTGTGGAGGTGCTGCGATGTCGCGAGCTTCCAAACAGCATTCGCTGGCTCCTGCAGAAACATGGATGCAAAACCAGATTGCCTTTGCCTCCTCGCCAACATCCGGATTTCACACAGGTTTTCCGACATCCGACTCGTCGTCCTCTCTGTCATCGTGCGAATGCACTTCCGTTAGGTCGACACTTTCGGTGCCTACTCTCTACGCCTTTAGGAACGTCCGTCGTGAATTTTCATATGCGAGTCCTAGGTTGCGTCCTACGATGTGCGGCCCCTATCTCGCTTATCTCCGAGTGAGTCTTCAGGGCATAGTGGGCTAGCTGGGGTGAGCTCGTTAAAGTCTGGGGATAAAGAAGCATCACATAGTAGTAGTAGCAGTAGTAGTAGTCGTCGTCGTAGTGGTAGTGGTAGTGGTAGTGGTAGTGGTAGTGGTAGTGGTAGTGGTAGTGGTAGTGGTAGTGGTAGTGGTAGTGGTAGTGGTAGTGGTAGTGGTAGTGGTAGTGGTATGGTAGTGGTAGTGGTAGTGGTAGTGGTAGTAGTAGTAGTGGTAGTAGTGGTAGTAGTGGTGGTAGTGGTAGTGGTAGTGGTAGTGGTAGTGGTAGTGGTAGTGGTAGTGGTAGTGGTAGTGGTAGTGGTAGTGGTAGTGGTAGTGGTAGTGGTAGTGGTAGTGGTAGTGGTAGTGGTAGTGGTAGTGGTAGTGGTAGTGGGAGTGGTAGTGGTAGTGGTAGTGGTAGTGGTAGTGGTAGTGGTAGTGGTAGTGGTAGTGGTAGTGGTAGTGGTAGTGGTAGTGGTAGTGGTAGTGGTAGTGGTAGTGGTAGTGGTAGTGGTAGTGGTAGTGGTAGTGGTAGTGGCAGTGGTAGTGGTAGTGGTACTGGTACTGGTAGTGGTAGTAGCAGCAGTAGTAGAGTAGTAGTTGTAGTAGTAGTAGCAGCAGCGGCAGTATCAGCAGGAGTAGTAGCAGTAGTAGTGGCAGTAGTAGTAGTACTAGTAGTAGTAGTAGTAGTTGTAGCAGTAGTAGTAGTAGTAGTAGTAGTAGTAGTAGTAGTAGTAGTAGTAGTAGTAACTGCTGCGCAGCAGCAGCAACAACAGCAGCAGTAGTAGTGGTAGTGGTAGTAGCAGCGGTAGTAGTAGTAGTAGTAGTAGTAGTTGTAGTAGTAGTAGTAGCAGCAGAGGACTGGTAGTACTGGGAGTCGTCGTCGTGGTGGTAGTAGTCGTCGTCGCAGTGGTCGTCATCGTCGTACTAGCATTAGTAGCAGTAGCAGCAGGGTCGCAGAAGTAATGGCAGTGGCAGTCGTAGTGGTGGCGGTGGTAGTGGTAGCCGTAGTCGTAGTAATAGTAGTGGTAGTAGTAGTACTAGTACCAGCAGTTTTTGTAGAAGAAGTCGTAGTAGTAGCAGCAGCAGTAGTAGTGGTAGTGGTAGTGGTCGTAGTAGTCGTGGTCGTAGTAGTAGGTCGACCGACCGAAGTCCGTGCATAGTAGTAGTAGTAGTAGTAGTAGTAGTAGTAGTAGTAGTAGTAGTAGTAGTGGTAGTAGTAGTAGTAGTAGTAGTAGTAGTAATAGTAGTAGTAGTAGGAGTAGTAGTGGTAGTAGTATCAGTCGCAGTAGCAGTAGCAGTAGCAGTAGCAGTAGCAGTATTCATTCAGGACGCACACCGAAGTACGATGAGCGCGAGGGAGCCGGCAAAGGAGATAGCTCCTTCGGAAGTTCAGGACTTCACCGTGCATGTGACGGCCCGAAAATGTCGAAAGTCTCGAAGAGTACTGAGACAAAGAATCCTCAATCAAGAGTTGCCAAATCAAATGCACAAGCCTCCATAACGGGATCAACAGTTTCTGCTGAAGGAGTCCCTGGAAGCACTAGTGGCGTCGCTGACTCACCATGCTGCTCGGAAACAGCAGTGCAACCACTCGACAGTGCAGCCGTCGAGTACGTTGCACCACCATTCGCTAGAGCACCAGACTCAGACTCAGCTGTCCAACCTCCTCCGTGGTTAGAGCTCATGGCATCACCCCGACTCGTGGCACCAATGGCACCCATGGCACCAACCACAGCAGCGACCGGCTGTTCTTCGACCATCTGCCTTGATCCTGCCGCCGGTGCCACCAAGTTGGGGAGCTCAGGCTGAGCAGTGGGTGTTGTGCTGCTCGCATCACTTGCCATGGACACCGTCACCGGAGGCGCTGCACTCATCTGCTGTTGCGTGCTTCGCCAGGATCGGTCACAGCGCCGACTATGCATGGTTCCATGTGTAGTTGTACCACATTCGCTACAGCATACACTAAAACCATTACCAACACCACGGTTGCAGCCAGGAGTTCGACATACCTGAGAGTAAAGCCTGGGCACCAAGCGGGCTCTCGCAAGGGTTCGCTGCATTCTGGAACATCGACGACTATGCAAAGCTCCACTGGTTTGTCCGCACGGTCCACAGCATCGGCTGTGGGAGGCAGAGACGTGCTGAAGCAGGCAGCCCCGTGTGCCACAAGATCGCAAGAGCATCGAACCTGTCACAGGCATAAACTGTCGAGTCGCAGGTGCTGTTACTTGCAAGCTGCACCGGTCCTGCCAATGACGAGTCGGCCATGACCTGCCGTGGAAGGAAGGTTATGAGTGTGGGCTCGGGCAAGGGGTGGCATCTGGGTGCTGCAATCTCTCCGCATGACACTGAGTCATTCTTGCGTAACGCTGCAACTAGTGGTTTGTAGCCGCAAGTTGGTGGCACACTGTAGCGCACTCAAGCGCTGTTCACAGTGTTCATTTCCTGTACAGCAGCGAAGAGTGGGTGTATCGCAGTAACGTTTAAGACTATCCCAGGAGACACGTTATGCACGTAATGCATCCTAGGGTCGACCACAGGACCGACACGGTTTCAGCCAGCAGTCCAAAGTACAGGTGGGAGGGGCCTAAACCCGAAGAAACAACATCGAAACCCAAAGATCCCTAGCGTCTATGCAGGCAGTGAGAAGCCCAGCTGCATCAGCTCACAGCGTGCTTTGTCGTCCAGGGCTTTGTGTTGTCCAATCGCATACGCAATCAGAACCACTCTGGTGCCAGCAGAGGTAGGTCGAGCCCCATGAGGGCACGTCGCCGCATTCAACAGGAGTGCATTCATGCTAACCTGATGCAACCGACCCGGAATGAGTCTGCCATCGAACTCCTCAAACTCAGTTCCATCCACCGCTGCCGCCCACAACTCTCCTGCACGAAAGTAGCTCAATCCTATGACCAAGGATGGAAGCCTGGCATTTTGTGAGTCTACGTGAATCCCCGATGCACCATTCCAGGTCAGGGCCAGCGAGGTCCATTGATGAGTAGGGTGAACCTCCCTGACAAGGCAGTTCAGCAAGAGACAAACTGCCCGATTTCGGGAGGTGGCCTGGGTGAGGCCACAAAAGGCATGATGTCCATACGCCCCCAGCTGAATCACACGCTGGGCCGCATTGAGCGCACTGCGACGCTCTGAGCGGTATTCCAGATGCACTGCCACAAGCCTCGAGGCACACCAGATAGAGCAGGAGCCCTCATGTAACACCATGCGCGTAAAGCGGTCAGCTTGGCTGCTCGGTTCGACTGAGCTGACCAACGTCGCGGGTGGAGTGTAATACGTGGCAGAGGGCTGACAGCGACCCAGGATGTCTGCATGAGTTATCATCTCGTCATAGTTGACATCATCTAGAGCAGCACGGGCAAACTCCAACAGATCATTACGTTGGGCTAGCGCTAAAGCATCCGGCGCTGTGGCGCCCTGCTGGGCCATTATGTCACGAAAGGCTTCCAGAAGAAGATTCTCCTCCAATGCATCGTGGTAGAGAGGAGGCGGTAGCCCCAGCTCCACAACACCACTTTGCATCATGTTGGCTAAGGCTTGAGTCAGGTAATATATGGATGCAGCCAGTGCAGACAGCGCGTGTGGCAGGCATCACGTGCAGTGACAACGACAGTGGCGGCCCGCCTTCGAGAGCAGCTCAGGAGGCTCTCCCGCCCACTAGCAGCGAAGCCACAAAAACTGCCACCCGAAGTTGAGCATGAAGATTCGGCAATCTCGGTCAAGAATGTACATTAACAACAGAACTATGACTGTACAAGGCAAGTAGCGCAATTTCTAACACGGGCGCCTCGGTGCACTTCGGCCTACAGACACCCTTTGACCCTTGGTTTGACGGACTATGGATCGGGGTCCCAGATGAGACCAAGAAGGTAACAGTTGCACTCAAGCAGCCGGCGATCGCGAGCCCCAGCCCGGCGCGGCTTGCTGTGATCGTTCAGAATAGCACTATGCCACTCAAAATGCCCAATTCTGTTCGGATCAGCTGTGGGAGTGCAAACTACAGCCTGATAGTGCCCGGTTTCGGTGTGAGGACCCATATGTATCAGGACATACACAAGCCTAAAGTATTCGAACCGAATCAGGACTTCCTGCTCTTCGCAGAAACATGGAACTGCAAGGCGCTCACCAGGTCGCCACCTGATAGCACGGGAGTCTTTAACAGCTCCACTATCACTGGCGTAGCGTTTAATCTGCAGCATAAGCACTCCCGAATGACTGTGCAAAGCATGTATGGTATGCTGTTCATGCCAGTGCTGCAGCAGTGCCTGCAGTGTGGTGGCCCCGGTTCCCGGTAGATCCAGCAGGATTGGAGCGTCCAGTGGTCCTTCATCCACAACTTGAAAGGGAAGGGTGAGCCGGGCTTGCCATCTGCCTTGATACGCAGCTGGGCGGGCACTCCTAAGGAGATGAACCATAAATTGACTGACATCATGCTGGCTAGTAAGCGCTGCCCAGCCCCTTAAGTGCGCTCTCCATGGCAGGCAGGATGGTAGATACGACCTACCTGTATCAAGAACAGGGCGCATGGCAGCGCGCGCAGAACCATAACAGGAGTCCTCATCCACTGTCAGCTTGCCAATCCACGCAAAAGCCTGCGAAGCGGCATTGAGGTAGCAAACATTGTGGGGATTGCTGAGACAGGCCTGAGGCGGGGTAACTTCTGAAAACAGGATCAGCTGTACTGGAAGATGCCGATGGTCTAGAGGTCGTCCTCTTCCGCGGTCTTCTGAGGCTTCGTCCACTGCTGTCGGCGGGGTTGCCAATCGGAGAACGGCACCCCGGTGTACGAGGTCTCCAGAGCTTTCGCCAGTTGAGACTGTTGCCCCCGATCTGGTCGAAATCGCAGGCCGGCCACGGCGAAACAGGCGCATCCATTCAGGAGACAGAGTGCCTGATGGACCCGATCGGCTTGCTTCCCACGTACCGACAGCACCACACAAACGGAAGAACCTCGCTCGCAATCTTCTCCGTCAGGGGTCTTGTAGCTCTGAACCGCAGTAGAACTCCCGGGCCTCCCACATTGTCGATGATAGTCTGAATGGCCTCCTGCGCCGCTGTGAAGGCTAGCGGGGCTCGGCTCGATCTCTCGGTCTTCTGATTCTCGGGCGACCACTGCTGATAGGTCCAGCACGGATTCAGAGCCTGCGAGCCCTCCACCAGCCACCCCACCGTGTGCATCTTGGTCAGCTTCTCCTGATCCTGCTGGAGTGCATTCATCCGCGTCAGGAGCTCCTGAAACACCACGATCAGCAGAACCACTCGCAAGCTGCATGTCACCTTGCGCTCTTGGTAGAGCCGCTGCCAATCCTCCGTTTTGTTCCTCAGCAGTTCCAAGATGCCAGTCTCCGCAGTGTCCACGAAGCACATCCACGTGTAGTCTTGCCTCAGCAGTCTCATCTCCGACTCGTGCCTCATCAGCATCTTGGCCATGTTCCGCAGGAGCTCTTTCTCGGCCTCCGTCAATGGAGTGGGCTCCCAGGGTGACCAGGGATCGGTGCTGGCTCGGCTGTCCTTCCAAGACCCATGGTAGGAGCCTTTGCCGTAGTCGCCCGCTTGCCCTTTGGATCCTGCCTTCGGCCACTTCGACCGTCTGGCTGCCGCCACCTCCAGCTCCTGAGCACTGTCCCGTCGCTCCGAAGGCTGGCTCTTCTCCCTCAACGAGGTTGGAGCTGGGGTCCCGAAGACTTCCAAGGCCTGTTCCCGTGCTTCGGCTGCCATCTCCTTGTCGGCCTGCTCCAGCATCATGATCCTGTCTCAGGAGAATGTCAGCAAGAGAAGCTTGGAACACAGGCATCAGTGCGAGATATGCGCCTGAGGATTGCGAACCGGCCGGGTGCAGTACTTACACGGCGTTTGGATCACTAGACCCAGGCTTGAGCACCTCGCAGTGGCCTCAGATTTGTGCCTCCAAGCCTGTGCATGCATCAATCTAAGGTGTTGCTTGATGCCACCCGAGTAGGAGACCCACTGACCGCAGATTACGCAGTAATTACTAAGCGCATTGGCAGTTGCAGGATCGTTCAGGGCACGGCGCCAGTTTTGGAGCACAGAGTGTTGGAACGCAGGTTGTTCGAGCAACGGTGTTGGTACCGAAGCCACAAGGGGCGCCCGGTGCGCGCACCCAAGCGACGCCCCCCGCTCAGGGGGTACCTCCCCACTGGAAACGGTTGTGTCCTCGGCAACACTTGCGGAATGCAAGACACTGCAAGATCCTCTCAAATGTTTCTTCAGGCCCTCAACTCTCGTGAAGACTTTGCGGCAGTGGATACATTGTGGCATTCCATCAACAGTACTTCGCACGTACTGTTGACTGCTAACCTTGGGTGGCGGGACAGGCTTACCATGCTGCCGAGTACGGTGAGACTTCATGATGCGCATGCTCGAGAAGTACTGTCCACAAACATTACAGGCAACAGGGTTACATGCGCCAACCTCAACGAGTCCACAATGACTAGGACCGAACTCTGACGTTTGACTACCAGTTTCCTGAAGCTGGCGCAACCTCAGTTCGAATCCCTCACAGCTATGTGGATCCGTACACTTCTTGACACGCTTGCTAAGCAGCTTCTGCAGGGCATCTGGAGGAGAGTCCACATGCAATCTGGCTCTCAGAGTGGCAGTGGATTCATGTGTAAGGTGGGAAGCACTACGTGCTATGGCACGGAGATACCTGGCGTCCTTCTGCTCTAACATCCTACGGGTAAGGGCGGTCGAGCCAACTGCATGCAGTCCATACTGCATAGAACTGCGTACGCAGGCCATGTACATCGAGAGCCGCGTGCGCAGCCCCAATCCAGGGGTATGCAGAAGTTTTAGCAATCGCTGGCGTATGACGCCAGCCGTAGACAGCCTAAATCTGCAGGATCGGAGCTCATATGAGTCAAGCGAGAGCGTGACACCCAAGTAAACCGGGCTAGACACCAGCGGGAGGTGGATGGGTCGGGAAGGTGTGCCAAGACTAATGACAAGGCCTGCAGTGGTTCTACTCTTCGACTGTCGCAACCAGCGTTTAGCAATTCCACCGCGCAGCGCTAGGATAAGCTTGGATTTAGAGGCATTGACTGTCATTCCGAGCTCCTCAAACAGGCGGAAGGTTTCACGGATACTTCGACGCATAAAGTTTAGGTCTGACTCATCGGTGATCAGCCATTGCAGCAATGTGTCGTCTGCAAACAGAGTTACCCAAGCCGTAGCCCAGGCCGCAGTGGTGCGTTGACTCAGAAGCATGTGGAAGTATCCAGTGAATGCAGCAAACAGAAGTGGAGACAGGACGCATCCCTGCCGAACTCCAGTAGCCATGGAAAAAGTACCCTCGTATCTCTGATGCTTGATACTGTATCGGCACTGCTCATGGAGATCAAGCACGGCATTGCAAAGCACTTCTGGCACGTCAGCTGCACGTAGCGATGCCAGTAGGGAAGCACGCGGCAAAGCATCAAAAGCACGACTAAGGTCAAGACTTAAGATTGCCCCCCCTGAACATTTGGGGCGTGAACTCCCTTGACGCTGTGCATGCACCGTTGGTGCTGACAGGCGCAGTCTTTCCCTAATGGCATCGCAGTTTCGACAGGCCCTGAGGACAGCCTCATCGATCGATCGACCGGGTATGTAGGCATACTGGGGTTTATCGGCAAGCCAGGGAATCAGGTAGGGCTCAATTTTTTCCCTAAGGAGAAGGGCATAAACCTTAGAGGTGGGGTCCTGGAGTCCTAAAGGCCTAAGGTCCTGCGGTCTCTTGGATGGCCGTCCCGGTTTGGGCAACAGAGCCAGCGTGCACGCGGTAGCCTCTTCAGGTAGAGGCTGTTGCTGCAGTCGCCTATGTTCCAGGTGACCCACAAGATATTGGGCAAGGGGCCTAGGACATATCTGCCAAACCTCCGCAACCAGACTATTAACAGGAACAGCCTTATAGGGTTTGAGCTTACTAATTGCAGCCTCCACCGACTCAGCTGTCAACCGCAAATCATCAAAGCACGGGCGATGATGAAATGAGTCAGCACGTGCAAAGGCTTGGCGGAAATACAGCAGAAGCTCTCTGAATTGCTCCCCATGATTGAGAACCCTGCCATCCTTGGACCTTATCCGAACAGGCTCATATCTACGCTTAGGGGCCAGAAGATTGACAACCCTGCACACTCCTCTAAGGTCACTACGTGCCGCAGCCTGCTTTGCTTGTGCTACCAAATCAGCAACACGCGCTCGGCGGGCCTGTCGACTCTGTGTCCTAAGGGATTTCCAAGCCTTCTGAAACCGAACATAACGTTTCCAAGCAGCTAGGATTTGTACTAGGGACGTGCCAGGCCGTCTAGCTCTCAGTTGCCGATGCGCAGCCCACATCACTCGGATGCCACTCTGCACTTGTGGGGCGTCACCTGCGCGACGCATCACAGTGCTACGGTGCGAGGGGAAGAACTGGTGGCACAACTGCAGGAGCTTGTGGTTGAGCAGACTTATGGACGTGCAATGAGCAGTATGCTCCACAACCTGACAGACCTGGGATTTGAAGGCCTGAGCAACTTCAGTATCTTGATGAAGATGCGATCGCAAGTCAGCCTTGGAGTATGCCAAACTGGGGGGCCTATTCCGGTTCTCAAGTACCCATCCAGCTGCCTTCGGGAGACTGCACTGAACTCTGTGATGCCTCGGGCCATTGCGCCAAGGGGCAAAGTCACCTGCAATGGGACACGAACGTCTGGCGATGGAGTCAGCTGCAGAGCGTCTGACAATCATGTAGTCGATTTGCGACGCGTGCGTTCCATTACGAAATGTAGCACAACAGTTTTCACGCGCACGACCCCATGTATTTAGTACGCATAACTGATGTGTGTCTATCATCTCCATGAGAGCATCATCCGCCTTGGCTGCCGCGCTTTGCAGCAATCCACGACCCACCAAACCAGCAGTAGGACAGACACCAGCGTTAAAGTCTCCAGCCAACAGCAACAGGT